TTAAACATTACTTTATACCATGAAATGTATGTTTTATATTTGGATATATAAGTGGATTATGTATCTAAATCCACCAAAACTAACAGAATTAATGACCATACCCTCATAACCCAAATCTGCAAACAGTGACCAATCTACAAGATGCCTTTCAGTGTTTGGGCTCTAATCTCAGAAGCAAGGCAAGCCGAGCAGCAAAGGTGCTGAAAAATTGTAACCTGGATGTGAAACCTGGATCGAGAGTAATCTTCCTTATGCCTGATGACGACGCCTTTCGATGTAAGTTATGGCTATATTTAGCTTTTACACGAACTATACAAATAGAACTGAAAGATTATGCTAAAAGTGTTACCGCTGTCTTTCCTTCAAATTCTCTGGGTTTAAATTTAAATTCTCCATACTTTACGTACATTTGATAATTAGACCCGTGTTAATGCAACAAAGCAAAGTGTTTTGTGAGATTTCTTTATTGTGAAAATACTTTAACTTCAACTTATAATGAAGTTATTGGCAAATAAATCCAATAATTTAGGAGACTGTAGTTTTGCAGAATAAATCCCCACTTATGTATGTGATTATGCTATGCGCTGCTTGTTAGCATTAAGGAATACACTTCTTAGATGGCTCTCTTGTGAAGTGGCTTTTAAGTATGGCATTCAACAGGATTGAGCGATTTCAGACGTTTGGTGGCGGTGCTTCCATACAGGGTGAAATTAGGCCCTTATTTTAATTAGGTTATCTATCAAGATATGTATTGATTGGCATTGGAAAAGATGTTTGAAAAGATTCTATATATATCTGCATACTTTCATATCTCAACTGTCATATTGTCAGATTTATTCTTCTGCATTGTCCCTCCGCGAATAAGTCCCCTAATAATGGGCCCATATCTTGACAATTTTCATTAAACTTCTACAACTTTATTAACCAGAGGACTGAGTTTCACTGCAAATATATCTTTGATACCTTGATACATCCACATACAAACAAGCTTATATAATGGGATCCATAGAGAGGAGAATAGTTGATTATTAACGGTTTTCTTTGTTCATGGATCTATTTAAGTGCTGTACTACATTTGCTCATAGCCGGAAGAGGGAGTTACTTCAGTATTGCATAAATTAAGAAGAAAAGCTGAGTTGCAGGTAGAAGCTTCGATGGCTGTAAATGCAACGAGCTATGGAGACAGACGACTTAAGAATGCTTATGGAAGAATGAGCAATAATCGAGTAAAAACTTCAGTTAAAACTATCTTGCCATTAAGAGGTTTCTTATTTCTGGGCCAACATTTGTTCAAGCTGAGGTCGCTAGCTGAGAATTATCACTTTGAGTGACATATGCATTCATAATAAGTAGGTTTTTAAGATTATCATTAAACTCTGAGTAAGAATGTAGTCAAAGTAGTTCAATAAAAATGGCAAATAGAACTGGTTGTGAATTTTGATACAATGCTATGAATAAAACTCACAATGACATTGAATGCAAATGTGTTTTGCCTTGCAAAAGACATTTTTATCAACTTTTTCTAACTTATTTTCTAACTTATCTGTGTGTTTATGTGTTTATGTGCTAGTGTAGTAGCATTATATGACTGTGAATATAGGAGAAAAGTATGCTCATTTGACGGAC